GGGGGGGGGTGATATTAAAATGGTCATATCATAAACTTTTTATCATGTTTTTTTCCTTTAAAATAAACAAAACATACACACACACAAAAAATCTTTATTTTATTTATATTCATAAAAATGGTAACAAAAACAATGATGTATATAAACAAAACAGTAACAATTATAGGTAAAAAGTCAACATTTAGAAATTCCCAAATTCCTACAAAATGGTATGGTTATTAAAATTTGGGTGGGGCTTTGTAAATCAATCTTTAAATTATTTTCCATGAAACCGCAGCTATTCCATGCCAACAATTCGTTTGTTTACCTCAAAAGTAGTATACAGTTAAAGTATGGGGTTGAGGGATATAGCAAGTTTCTGGTGTCCCGAGACCGGGGCCCGTATTCATGAAACCGTTCTCATGCTCAAGCATGGATTTTGTGCTCAAGTGTAATTTCTTGTTTAAGTTATAAATTATTTTTAAAAAAATGTTTTGTTAAAGTTTTGGACAAAAATTGAAGAAACTTGAAGCCGATACTGTTTTCAATATTTAAATTTGACTTTTTGATTGTTGACATGATTTAGGTGGGTTACAAGAAAGATGGCTTGAGCACAGAATCCTTGCTTGAGCATGAGAACGGTTTTATGAACACGGGCCCAGGTCTATTTCCCGAGGCGAAGCCATGGTCGAACTAGCTAGTAGAACGCGCTGGTTCTCGTATTGAAAAAAGGACACCTTCTGGAGAAAAGTCCTAGAGCCTGGGCTTCGCCTAGCTATAAAATTGCGTTATATAACCACTGGAGACTCCTACCGATCACTTCAATATGGTTGTAGAGTGGCTGCTAAAAGATGTTAAACTCTGAACAACTTAGTTTAGGTCCAAATATAGCTGTAACACATTATCAGGTCCCTGTGGAATAACAGACTTATAGTGACCAACTGTCAATGGCTTGATAACATAGATATTCGTACGATACTGTTGATGTCGGATGTGGAAGTATCGTAACGAGAATGCACAATAGTGTTGATGCCTGATACTTCTGTAAGTGCAGTGTGTCCATGCAAGAGAGTCTGCGAGACGGACAGACCATTTGTAGTCACCAACTGTATGAGATTATCAGTGTTCGGGCCCGAGTGGATACGAACACTGGTTCCGTTGGGGTTGGGTTTAACACCGCCTGCGCTTGGTATTCGCCTGACAGCAACCTTTCCCGCCCCTGTCCCACGTCTTGTTCGCAAGATGTGGTATCTGGGTCAGTATTATTTTGCTTAGATACACACACACACACACACACACACACACACACCGACATGCCCTTGGACCCCTATCTCACAAACACGATTTAAGAAATTGCGAACACGATTTAAGTAAAGCTGAAAAATCGTGTTGATTCGTGCTCGACCTTGTGGTTTGTGCAAATTTCTTAACCAAACACGACCCTCATACGACCTACATACGACTGAACATGACACTCATACGACTGTCATAAGATATTCATACGATACAACACGATTTAACCTCATTTAACACGACCCCAATACGACGGTTACGACCAAACACGACTGACATACGACGCCCATACGACATAACACGACTCAACACGACCGCCTTACAATTAAACACGAATCAATACGATGTCCATAAGACTGAGCAAGACCTTCATACGACATATTTTGTTTATTTTGGTCACGTTGGTCATGTAGTATATAGGCTGCATTGCAACAGCATTTCTGTGTCAGTCTTCACCATGTTCAACAACGAACAAGACCCGCAAGAAGCAGCTTTGGAGGAGGAGGAAGTACTTCCGGTAGCTATGGTTTTGATGGTGATGGGTAGGAGGCAGCGTAGGCGTGGCAGAGTAAGGAACAGAAAAAGATTCTGGGTTCGACTATGGTTGTAGAGGAGACCTTCTGGAGAAAAGCCCTAGGGCCTTGGCTTCGCCTAGCTATAACACCACTGGATACTCCTACCGATCACTTCAATATGGTTTTAGAGTGGCTGCTAATACCATCTCTACGATTGTCTACGACACATGTGAGGCTATTACTCAAGCGTACACAGATGAGGTCATGCCGACACCAAAAACCCCAGAGGCTTGGAAGGAGGTGGCTGATCAGTTTTCAACGAGATGGAACTTTCATAACTCTCTCGGTGCAATAGATGGAAAACATGAAGCTATAAAATGTCCACGAAATTCAGGCTCTTTCAATTATAACTATAAAGGTTTCTACTCTATCATACTCCTCGCAATAGTTGACGCTGCATACACGTTTCTGTATGTTGACATTGGGGTAAATGGTAAGCATTTCTGTGTCAGTCTTCTCAAGGACTGCGACATCTATTCTTCAAGGACTGCGACATCTATCAGGCACTGGACCAAGGCACTGCAGGTCTTCCAGAACCACAACCTCCTCCAAACGATGATCAACCCCTGCCATTCGCAATTATAAGAGATGATGCCTTCGCACTACGTCAATGGCTTGAAACCCTTCCCGTTCAGGTGCATGACGAACGCAGATCGAATCTTCAACTACAGGTTGTCGAGGGCAAGGCGAGTGGGGAAGAATGCTTTTGGCATCCTAGCGCATAGGTTAGTTAACTTACCTTTTATATTTTGAATCATAAACACTGTATGTCTCTACAAATTAGATGATGAAAGGAATTCATCAACTATTATCATATGTGTACATGTGTGTTTTAAAATGAACTCAACAACATTATATCTATTACATACTTTCTTACCTTGTTTTTCAGGTTCCGCTGCTTGCTTATCACTATGTAGCAATATCCTCATCGTGTGCAGACGATAACTATGGCATGCTGCGTAATGCACAACCTACTGATAACCCGCAACCCTAACCATGCTGCTCATATGGTGGATGGAGAGGACCCGATCACCCACGAAGTACTTCCGGGAGTCTGGCGAAATGAGGAGGACCTGGTTGGTTTGCAGGGCGTTGGAAACGCCGTAGGCAGAAACACTTCAAGCAAAAAAGACAAAGTGCAGCACAGGTACCTGCGGAGTTACTGCAACTCACCCATAGGAAAAGTAGACTGGCAGGATGATTTGATCTAACAAGAGTACCGCGGGGCGGAACAAAATACGCCCGCCGAATGTCATACAGTGTTATATACTTTCTTACATTCAAATAAGA